CTAAAAACATCCACACTATCCCTTTAAGGTGACCGCCTCACCTCCATCAGACACCTTCCTCACCTTCCTCTTGCTCTGCCTCCCTTCCAATCTCTCCATCAGTCCCTCCTTCTCAATCAAGGTTGCTGTTTACCATATTTAGGAGGCCGACAATCGACAGCGAGGGCCAAAGAAAGAACAGATTCCATTTTTTATCGTGCTTTCCGTTGCAGATCGATCATCCTCTCACCCGTAATTATTTTCTCAGTCCCTTCAACGCTCTCAGCTCTCACTGTCCCTCTGTCCTCTCACTCTATTTTCTCTTTCAACAGCCCATTCGTCTGACGGCACCAGGAAAGGTTTCTGTGTGTGAGTTTGCACATGGCTCCGATAGCAAACACCCTGTGCTTTGTGACGTGTTGTGTGTGTTGTGTGCTGTGAGTGAACTGAGAGAGTGATGGAGACAGAAACAGTGTGTGTATTGACAGTGATAAAGAGGCAACTCAGATACTCCAACATTGCAAAGGTCTTATTGTGTGTGCGTGTGTGTGTCCTTCCTTACCTCCTAGCTCCCTTTCCTAATTTGCCCTTACTTATTTCTTCCTGGTTTCTTCTTATCTTCTCCCAATCCACCTTTCTTCTTCCCCCATCTCTTCCACCCCTTCATTGTTTCTTACTTTCATCCATTCCTTGCTAATTCCTCCTCCATTTTCTTTCACATCTCATTTCCTCTCTCTGTCTCCTTTTTCTACTTAAGGGGAGCCCTCTCTAAATTTCTATTTTTCACCATTCTTCAGTTTTTCCTCTCCCCCAACCTCCTCCTCTCTTTCTTTCTCCATCTTCTTTCCCCTCAACTTCTTTTGTACTGCTTCTCTTTCCCCTCGATCCATCTCTGACCTTCTCACTTAAGTTCATTTGCTTTGAAGCACCATGTATTCAGGCTTTATCTTGTAGACAAGGTTTTTTTTATCATCTTAACTACAGGCAAGCGGGAAATAACTAAATAAATGATTGATATTATTTGTATTTTTGCAGATAATTTGACACTTTGGAGCCATTGTGCTGCATCATTCTGCTCTGAATTACACGTCTGAGGATGACTAACAACTGCAAACACAACCAGGATCTGCAATATAAAGACCTCAGCTGCTTTTATTCCACACTGCACCCCTCACCACCTCACGTTATCTCCCCGTGACAGTTTGAAAGGGAATAATGACGCGACGCATCACCACTTTAAGACACATGAATGAAGGGACCGAATGAGCCGAGAGAGGAAGACAAAGGCCCGCTTTGAGAGATAGCGAGCGGTGAAGGGAGGACGGGCGGATTGGAAGGAAAGTGAGATAGAGGCAGACACCTCGCAGGGACAGAGGGAGACAGACGTAGAGAGATAAATGCAATGGGTGAGGAAGAAGACAGACGGACAGAGGAAGAGAGACGAGAGGGGAAGAAGAGGAGGAGACAGAAAGCCTGCCTCTTTATCTTGCCCTGCCTTTCACAGCCAGCCTCATCCTGGCACATGATACTGCTGTGTGTGTGTGTGTGTGTGTGTGTGTGTGTGTGTGTGTGTGTGTGTGTGTGTGTGTGAATTGCTTGTATGGACTAAGGCTGCAACTAATGAATATTTTCACTCAAAATCAATCAATCTAAAATTTCTCCAATAACCTTGTTGATTATTTAGTCTCATATCATGAAATAGTAAATGTCAACGGTGGTTTTAAGGAGTGTAATGTGTCTTCAAGAGGTTTGGTTTTCATAAATGACTAAATAGAATGTAATAGAAATCTGCCAGTTGATAGTTGATGAGGAGATAAATACTCCCACTCCTGGTCTAAAGGTAGAGTTTGCAATCGGTCTACACCGAAGCCTCGATCGTTGCTATTGTAATCAATGTCCAAATCATTTTTTTTTTTTAAATATATGGATGACATGCTTGACCCCCCCGCTACTGCACAGAGTGCTCTTTGCTTGTGTATGTAAAGTTTATTAATATTGACTGTGTCACTTGTACCAACTACACCAACTTTGACACTGCACTTCCTTTGGTCCCCAGCGATACAACCACCACAAAGGTGAGGTAGATCAGATGGACGGTTAACAAGATAGGTGAAGGACACACACACACTCATTGTTTCAAGTGTGACTAATACATGAGTTAAATGTGTCTGTGATTTTATAGATTAATCAAGAAACCTGACGAGTCGTGCCTTGTTTTCAGTCCACGCCTATATTTTTATATTTTATTTGTCACTCCTGCTCCAAATGTATTTCTCATTGAACACAGTATTGAAGTAATAATAAGAAACAGATATGACACAGTGAGACTCAAATAAATCACATTTAGATAATGTATTTATTGTAGACCACCGTTACACTTTCTAAGCTGCTGTTACAGCTGATAGTGTTGTGTCAGCGTTACACACCGACACACTTCTGACAGCACACAGTTTTAAAGGCAGAACGTTACAGGGGACGTGCAAATACATCCTAAAGCACCATTGTTCTCTCCTCAGTATTCCATTTAAAAGAAAGTGTTAATACTCATATCATGAATCAATCTTTAATTAAAGCTCTTTTTGTAAGTCTGTTGCCTGTAGCCCACATCATTGAAATAACAATGAGATTAATGAATTGTGTTTATAACCCACAGCATTATAAAATATTGGAAAAAGCAGAGGAAAGAATGAGGAAAAGACCAATGAAACAAAAAAGGGACCAACAGCTAAAAATGAACAGGTGGAAGTTGAGAAGAAGAAGAAGAAGAAGAAGAAGAAGAAGAAGAAGAAGAAGAAGAGAGGGTTGAAAGAGAGGGAAGAAGAAGAAGAAGAAGAGAGGGTTGAAAGAGAGGGAAGAAGAAGAAGAAGAAGAAGAGAGGGTTGAAAGAGAGGGAAATGAACAAAATAACTGTGGCTGCTGGTGTAAATCTCCCCCGGGTTAAAACAAGATGATAGTTAAAAAATGTACCGCAGGGTCACACTGTGACTGTGTGAGTGAGAGTGTGTACATTGTGTACAGCTGCTATTGCTGTGGATGTTTGTGTTTGTGTGTGTGGTTGGTTGATGTGTGTGGGGGGGGAGGGGCTGCGGAGCCCATTAAAAGGTGTCCCTGCTGCACTCAGTGTACAGAGGCCTTAGGGCCTATTTGTTACTACATCAATCTGGAGTTAATGGAAACACAACGCACAAACACACACGTATCGCGCACGCATCCAAACCCATTTCTGCCTACAGTGCTAACAGCGGGACACACACACATGCACTTGTAAACACGCGAACATGGACACACACAGCTGGCGAGGAAGCCAGCCAACCAGGCCCACAGCAGAACACACGCACACACACACACACACACACACACACACACACACACACACACACACTGTGTAGCATAAGCAAATCCCAGTGAGGTCCCTTCATTTTTTTAATTCCATCATTTTATCAGAGTGCTAAAATGACATTTTTGAGCTTGATGTAAGCTGCCAATCTACACTTCCTTTACTTTTAATCTGAAAATCACTAAATGACTACATTTGAAAAAGTCATGGTTTTGACTATCGGGCAGTTCTCATCAGCAGGTAATGCGGAGCAGTAGCGAGTCCTGTGTGGGCTACGCAAGTGTTTTTTTTAGGCACAAGATAAATTGGATTGAGTGCATGTCTGCTCATGAGTCACTGCTAATCTCTGAGTAGAGGAGATGAAAGAACAAAAAACGCAGCAGGACAGGGACGGGTAGAGCGAAGACAGCCTGAGAGCAGGAGGCCAGCAGAGCGCTCACTTTCAACTGTGTGACCCAGGTCACCACATCCCCACCAGCTCCGGGCCTGCTGCTCTGCGCATAAACCTGAGTTCCCTACAGACGTTAGCTACGTCTCTGCAGGGTCCAGTAAAGTATATCTTCACGAAGACCTCCCTCAAGAGAGACGACTGCAAAGGAGGTCAGCCGACACACTCAGAAGGCTCTACTGCCGGCCATGCATCCATTAGAACGACGTCCTTATTGGACGATTGCACACCTCATGATTTATGTCCAATGTCAATGTTCAGTGCCGATGCGGTAAGTAGCGTGACCTTTACGTGGCGAGGCGGAAAGTAAGGGTGTGGAGGTTGGAGTGGTGGATGGGTGGGTAGTGGATCTGACTGTTAAGTGGAGGACCAGAGTGTGTGTTCCGGCAATGCTTGCATTTAATCAACATAATCAAGTGTTTTTCATGCCTTACTCCAACCGGACTCTATAGGCCGTAGCCATGATCCTTCCCCAACCCAACCAATACTCTGGTCTGCTGCTAATGTGCATAATCTGGGGGCCAAAAAAGGCTTTTTTTGGTGTTTAGAATGAACCATGGAGCATCTCATACCCAGCTCTCTTAACATGTCCATGCTCTTTATATAAATCCATTATAGTTGTGAATAAACATGGTTAATTAAGTGAACTTAAGAGCATGCTACTGTAGTTCATACAAAGTTTTAACATGTGCTGTTCTGAGCGCTTGGTGTCTACCATAATGCATTTGACATCAGTCAGTTGCCAAACACCGAGGAAGAAGTGCTAGCATCAGTGCTGAAGAGACAAAAGCAAAGAGCTGCACTCACAGGATCACTATGGACAGAAAATCACTATCATCAAAGCTGTGCAGCTTTGGCACGGCGAAACAAGAGGCACCTCTCCCATGCACAGGGTTAAGGTGGAATTAAATTTGTGCATTGAAGGGTTTTGGTGTCTCTTTATAGCCTCTGAAACTCCACAAGAGGACTCCCATTAACCCCCCTGCATCAATCAGCAATCCAGCTTTAGTGTTAATTTATACCTGAAAGTCACACTACAGTGGCACTTGAGCTGTCGTGAAAGGGCAGAAATTGTCCATGGTAGTGTCCCAATGGTGCACACACACATGAGGAAACACCACCGAGATGAACACTTTCCACCAAAGATTGCAACAGCATTTTAAGGACGAGGACCTTAAGGATTAGCATTCCAACCTAAGAATAAGAGATAAAGAGAGAAGAGCTGTTAGTCCTTACCAGGCGTGGTTTCTATCACGGTGTCTTGTCTCTCGGGGGGGAAAAGGACCTTGGGAGGCTGAGTGGTCTGGAGAGCTGTGAGAGAGATGGAAAGAGATACATATAACATGCTGGTCATTCCCACGTATCAAGCTTTAATCTAAACATACACAAAGGTAAAGAAGAAGACCCCCTTCATATCTCAGCGCACACACACATTCATCATATCCATCCTACTATCAATATGTATTCTATATAGATCATTGAGAACAAAAGTAAGAACTAGGTCTGGGGAAACTCAAATAGTCACAATATTTCTGACCAAATACCTCAATATCGATATTTTGATGAAATTGTAGGGTTGACCATTGGTGCTTCCACAAAACATTTTCTTCACAATGATTTTGATAACTAATCATCAGTAAGGGTAAAGGTACATAAAAGAGATCTGGTCGATTCTGAAAATCTGATCACTTTACTGTGATGCAGCATTTAAAAACCAGGAAAAGACAAGACTATGTTATGATATCCAAAATAAGAGCATATCTACTCTCATGTCACGGTATCGATATACCAGCGATATATTGCCCAGCCCTAGTTAGAGCACTCTGTGGTTCATTTCTTAACTGTTGCAATCTGCTGTATGTCAAGAAGGAAGTCTTTTTTCAATTAAAATCCCAACAGATTAATGCAATTTAATGCAAGAGCATCTGAAGAGGGAGGACGAGGACAGACAGCGCTAGAGTAAAAACAAGAGAGAGACATACTATAAGGGAGGTCTCACATTTGGGGTTTTCCCAGAAAAACAGTTGCAATGTGTCTGTAAATCTCCACAGCACAAGATTTCATAAGGAAACACCAGGACCTTTGCTCCATCAATCGGTCACTATACCCTGCAGTGTCACAGAGCCAAATATAGAGAGTCTGGAGCGCATTGACTTTCACACCGACGAGATGCCGCCTTAGCCACAGAGGCAGGTCAGTGCGCAGCTCGTCTCACCTCATGATTCCTTTTTGTCTCTTGCAGACAAACAGGTTGACTGAACTCTGATGACCAGCAGACAGATACTCTCCGCTTCCACCTGAAGCACCAATCTCAATCTCACCTCACTGGATTCTGAACACCAATGCTCTCTGCTGTCCAACACCTTTTCTCCTCACCGCCTCTGAGTTTCTAATAATCCTCTGAAGTGTCTCAGTATTCCCATTCTTCTCTGAAGGCTGTGTTATTACACCTCATGCAATTTGTTCTGTGTCTTAGATGAAGAAGTTGATATCTGGTGTCAACCAATTCCCAACGATCATCTGACGATTGAATATTGGTGATTTAACAAGACACATGAAATGGACGCAGTAGTGAAGATGATTGGTGTTTTGTTGTATGTTGAATTAACTGATGAGCCCACACTGTCAAAGAGCAAAACTAATGGGATAAGGCTGACTCAAAACAGCCCATAATAAACTATGTCCATGCTAGCAGTGCGGCTTTAGGGCCCCTGTCTGTCGGTCAGTCTGTTGATTGCTTGCTTCACAACTTTGGTCCAGGTTGAAATAACTCTACATCTACATGATAGCTAGCCAAAGAAAATTTGTGGTTTCCAGAGGATGAATCCTTGGCGATTTCCTGCCTTTATATATCGAGCACACATGTTTACCATTAAATGTAGTACAGACATTCACGTTACCTTTCAGGATGAATTCTAATATCAGGTGATATGAGGAGCCTAACCTTTTAAAGGAGCAGCCATTGTTGTCTAGAACGTACAGTCGCCTCTCTGACTCGTCTCATACACTGAAACGACAGCCCAGAGCTGCCAGGAGCACCTCACAGGATGCTGATTGGTCCGAACACTGGTGGTCTGCACAACAAATGCAATACTTAAATACTGACTAAGATTGTTGTTCACCTTGTGATAACGCAAGAATCCAGCTGTCTTGCGAGGTAAAGAGGGAAGACCTGTGCTCAAGCTCCACGATAAAGTATGCTTTGATTTGAAGGTGCAACACTGATAATGATGGGTGAGTATCTCCTGACTCTGATTAAATATTGGTCCACTTGTAATGGCATTTCCTGTATTTGTCCAACACTAACAACCACGGGAACAAAGCTCAGGACTGTTGGACCGTACAGCGTTGAGACTGATTTGACTCTCGCAGAACCATCAGTTTCCAGCAACAAACTCACTGTGAGTCTACCCGCCGAGCACCAAGCAGCAGGGAGACAGAGTTAGCACATAGCTGGCAAACAGCTGGGCGGAGACTGAAAGAGAGCTTGGAGGACTCACATTCATCAGGTGGACACAAACCCATTCAAATGAATGCTGATGTTGCTCTGAGCACACAGTGAGTACAGTGTGCTTCCGCACTTAGAACTGTTTCATTACTCTGATTTTCAGTGGAACCAAGAATCAAGTGTCACGTTTTTTTCCTTGTTCCACCTTGTATCCCAGTAACCCCTGTCAATACCTCTATCATTCCATCCCTCTCTCCGTACCTCTGATAAGACTGATAGTTTCATTTGCATTCTGAAGGGACCGCTGCTCTCCCTTGAGATTAATGAGACAACCCTTCACCTCTCCTGCTCTGTCCTCTATTCACACCCTATATCTTTACTTTCCTCTCTGCTCTCTCACTTCTTGTCTTACTGTTATGGTGGGCCTTTGGTTGTTGCTGTCTCCCAAAGCAAAATACAACATTCATATGAATAGTAAAAAGATATACAGTGGAAATGTTTAATTACACGGCAGAACATAATGCAATACTTTCTTCATGGCTTGAAGCGGGGTTTAGTGTATTTTTTGTTGGATGCACCCAGGTGTATTTGCATGCACCTGCATGGTATTTGGGGGACTCAGTGTGGACTTGGTTGCGTCAAAGTGAGAAGGAGGCACAGTATGAGCTGTGCCAGTAGTGATTAAATAGTGCTGCACTGCGTCTCTCCCACAATACAGCTGTGTCTTTACCAGATGACACCCCTAACAGATCCTACTGGCAAGTCTGCATCACTGTCCGTGTTCACGTTAGATCTCTCTAATGTAAAGAAAGTATCTGCAGCAGAAAAGAAAATTCTAAAATCGGAATATCAAAAGATGTGTGGTGAATAGATGATAATGGCAGCGTTGCTTTTTACTTTTAGCACACACACACACACACACACACACACAGATACACACACACACACACACACAAGCATGCATTTGATATCTTTGAACTTCTCATAATGCTTGCTAGTCTTGAAAATGATAAATGCTTGTTGATGTGGACATTTCCATGTCTATGTCTACATGTGACAGAGAAAGTGCCATCAGGTTAAAGGCGTCGGCCGACTTCAACAAAAACAGTCCCAGAAAGTGACGATTCACAGGAAGTAAACGCGGAAACCAAATCAGCTCCCTTTAAGGTGTCTTTGTGGTTCTACTGCATCTGAGGAAGCAGAGATGTTATGCACAGCCACAGCGTGACGTGAGGCAAGAAGCCTGCATGCAACGAGACAACAATGAGTCAGAGCAAAGGACAAAGGCAACTCCTGTATGTGATCTATATCCTAACCGTGTACACTGAACAGAAAAACAAATTGGCAAGAACACGTCACAAAGAAAGCAGCGGTCTCAGTGCAGTTCATATGCTCTTTGGGGTTCAAATGAGATTTGACCTTTTCCAGTAAGGTGTTGTCCAGCACATTAAGTCAGATAGACAGACCTTAGACAGAGTTGTCAAAGACAGGGGATATTAATCTAGCATTTTCTTGAACATAAAGGTGTGTGTGCATACGAGTCATCAGATATGAACTTATATGAGTGCAAGGAAGTTCAGAAAGTCATTTGAGTGACTTTTCTGTGATTTAGGAGCGCGTCGCTGCTATCTGAATCGTCCTGATCTGATCATTTTCAGCTCACCGGGTGCTCCAAGTAGATTAAAACAAACATGGTCCTGTCGCACTCTTTATCTCCTCAGATGGAATTAACCCAGTTTGTGTGTCCGACCATATGTGACCTTTTTTACATTTCCATTTTGAAATCTCATGACAGTAAGATTCACAACATCGGGAACAAAAGAACAGAAGAGGACATTTGTTAACATTCAAAGTAATAATTCAAATGATATCCTTTTATTCTTCATGATGTTAATAATTCCAGCAGTGTGGATTATAATCGTGTGTACTGCAAATGGAATGACCTCTTTATGGATCACTTCATTGTGTCCCTTTGCTGCTTTCTGTCCAGTGAAATGAGCAAACACGTCCCATCTCATCTGACCTCATACACTCTTCATTTGGTTTTATTTAGAGCTCGTTTGAGACACATTTTGTATAAACTCATAAGGGCTGTCATAGAAAGAAAGCTGTGCACTAAGCTGGGAAAGTACAGGTGCTGTAGCTCTGAATGTATTTTGTAAGAGTTGTGATTATGAGCCTGATAATGAAAAACAGGGGTCAGTGATGGTTTAGGTTCACTAACTAAGACATGTTTCTTTCTTTGCATCTTTGAGGTCTAGCAAACGTGTCGGATCATTTCTGTCCCCAAAAACATATTTGCCAAAGCAGAAAGTTCTGAAAAGAATTTGCATTATTTTCCTAAATGTTTGCCTACTTGCAGTCTTCTTTCCTGCATTTTGCGGGTACATTACTCAAAGTATTGCTCCATATACTACTAGTGTAGCCCAGATTGTACCTTTAAAGGGACACTTTGTTACTTTTAAAATAAGACATAATCCTTTCTTTAAAAAATAAAAAGTTGAATTATTTTGCATAATTCAATACAATCAGGGGTTCTGCTGCTAAAGCCTTACTTGGTCTGGTATTACCTGTAGCACATGGTGCTAGCTACCTACTGCCTTTGAACGGATATTATTGTCAGTTTGCTGACTCTTAGACACTTTATATGTATTACTGGTATTGCTGATAATAGATATTTTGGGTGGCAACTTATTTTACTGTTGGGTACTGTAATGGTAAAATAGTGCAACATATGTAATAGGCTAATCAATTAATATATAAAACACAATTTTGAGTAATAACAGCAGCGAAAACCTGTGGTGGAGTATAAGTAGTAATATTTCCCTTTTGAAGTTAAGTTGAGGGAAATATAAAACTAGCA